AATGTTTGGGATTTCTTTTGTGTGTTACGAAGATGTAAAAGGAAAAAACTTCTAAACCTGAAATATATCACACAGCTTTCATAAGTTTCTTGAGAAGACCTCTTTTATCTTCTGTATGTAGTTCACCATAAATAAAGCATTTATAAATTTGTCTCTGACTGAGAGGTTTTAAAGACCTCTAGGGCATGCAGAGATATTTGATCTATACTTTCAGCCAGCTAGATGGTAGATACAGGCTATCTAATACTCTTATCAAATATTAGTCTTGAATTACATTATAGCTGCTTTTGTTTAGAATTCAGTGCCAAAAGGACTGGTTATGGAGGTATTAGAGTTTTATATGTTTGTCTTTCTTCCTTGGAAAAATTGTTTTGCACTGTGAGAAGTTCACACTGGTTACCTTCACTTTGCTTTCAAAATGGTAGATGCTAATGCATCAAATTCTGTACTCAAAACTGGAGTGAGATCACTTTCAACGAATAGGACTGCATACACTGGTAATACTATTACTGAAATAGAAATATTTGTTTTCAACCCATCCTAAATAAAAATACCTAGTTTTAAATTGAAGACCATTCAATTTTTTAAACTATCGTACTGATGATTTACACCTCTTAAACGTTGCATCTTGTTTTGATAAGGCAAAAAATTTTCTACTTCCCGTTTTTCACCAATAGATGGCAGCTGAAGCTCTAGCAATTTGTTCACTTAATACATCCGGAAGTAAGAACGCTTGTAGTTTGCAAGTATATAGCCAGCTATAAATCAGTGTTTTTTGATATCTCTTCAGATGTGATCATGATTTAGTCCTAGCCATCCACCTTGCATTATAAACTTTAGTCCATTATCTCCATTTTGTGTATAAACCTGGTCATTCTTATTTCTCTTGTCCTATTCCATTGGGTCAAACCAAAGAGACTGGTGGCAGAAAAAGCCTACTACACTGATAAAACTAATTTCAATAAACCACACGAAGGATGCTCAAAATTCTTAATATATAATCCTGTATTATTTTCTAAAATCCACTTCTTTTGTGAAACACAGAAGCAGAAAGAATTTAATCTTGTTTACATACAACTCAGGTACAGTGCTCAAAGTCACAATTAAGTAGTATAAAAAGACAGGGATTTTCTTCTGCGTAAATTATAATGATTTTAAGGACAAGTAATGTGTGGCAGCCAATTAGTTGTAGGATTTACATGAAAAATCAATGGAAGCATGCATAAACCACATGGTTTGAGGACTGCAGAGCACAAAAAGATACCTTTCCTTCTAGGCAATCTGCATTAGTAAATGTACATTATTTCCCCTGCAAAATTATTTCCTGAAATACGTCTGCCTCATAATTGCCCTGCTGTTACTGGCAATCTAAGTATTGATGACTAAGTGACCATTACTTCTCGTACATACCACAGTAGCAGTTTGAGGCAGACCGGGTGGATAAATTTGAGTGCTCTGATTCCTGCATAGACACCTGCATGAATTCTATTAATCCAATCCATTCAGTAATCCTTCAATTTTTATATTATAATTTTGTTTTGTGAGCTCCACCTCTAACTGTAACTCTCAGCATGTATTAAAGCTTCCGCTGTATGGGCAACAGCAGCAAAACATGGATAAAACCCAAAGCCATCAAGAAGCATCAATGATTAGACACTGAACAATGAAGATCATGCAGCTGAGTCAGTGATTATTAATCACTCTCAACCGGTAACGTTACAGAAGGGAGGACGTCTAAAACTGCTTTAAATTAACTCTTCTCCAGTGAACTGGAGAATTTTGGCAGCAAACATCATGACACACACATCACACACACCCCCACAATTCATTGTAGGTGTCCAATTTAGGTGCCTTAGACTCTCTAGTCCAGACTAGAAGATGGCTCTAAATGCCCCTTTGCAGGAAACCCCCTGACTATGTAGGAACCTGAACTGAACTTCTAACCTTATCACCTCAGGCAAATGCCCCAAATCAGGCAGCATGAATGACCTTCTTAGACATTGTACCTGTCACTGAATGTGAAACAAATGGGTGCAATTAACAAGCAACCTCCCAAGGGCCAGGTCATAGCATGCAAAACCAGCATACCCCCGCTGACTTGACAGTAACACAATGTAAGCTGTACACCATCTTGACCCTCAAATGACAGCACATGTTATCACAACAGAATTATGAAATAATCAGACTGGTTCAGAGCTATGCATTTCCCATAGCTTGCTTTAGTTTGGAGCCTCTCTTCCTGAAGAATAAACTTTTCATTCAAACCTCAAGTGAGAGCAGCCTGTAGCCAGTGAAACTGCAGAGAAAGGTCTGTAAACAATAACTGCTCTGTAGAGAACAAGATGACCTTTATGGATGTTAAAACAGAAAGGGTTGATTGATGCTCTGCAGTACATCTCTCCAAAATATTAAAACCAAGAAAACAATGGAAGGTTAGTTTATGAACATACAGTGTGACAAATTATGTCAGCAGATAGGGGGTAGGAAATGGGAAAGCACGACTGGGTAAAATATCTGGGGAAAAGAGCCTAAATCATCAGGTGGAAAAGTGTTTAATGCTGACTTCTATTAAATGGAAACAAAACCCAAACCTGTTATCTAGAGCAGGTCAGTTGCTAAAATCTCCATGACTCACCCCCATGATTCACGTTTTAAAATTCTGCTTAATACAGCAAGATACGGTTTGATGATTTTTAGAATAAGAAATCCATTAATAAAACCTAAAGGATAATTACTTACAGTTTAGCCACAAACACGTTATTAACACAGAAGATAATCTAATGTGTATAGAATCACAGAATCACATAGATCAGAAAAAACCTTTAAGATCATCAAGCGCAACCGCAAACCTAACACTGCCAAGTCACCACAAAACCATGTACCTAGCTGCCTTATCCACACGTCTTATAAGTACCTCCAGGGATGGTGAAACAACCGCTTCTGTGGGCAGCCTGTTCCAGTGCTAGATAATCCTTCCAGTGAAGAAATTTTTCCTAATATCCAATCTAAACCTCTCCTGGTGCAACATGAGGCCATTTCCCTTCGTCCTATCACTTCTTACTTGGGAAAAAAAACATCTACCTTGCTACAGTTTCCTTTCAGGTAGTCTCTCAGGTTCAGTCTGCCTGTGTGTTGTCAACCCAAACTACTAAAAAAGGCTGCAGAATGCTGCCCCTCTTTCTCACTTTACTTTGCTTCCTTTTAATTTTCCCTTCCTCCAGAAATGTAAGGGAGCAATTGGAATTGTTCAGTTTAAATGCATCTCTTCCTGTCACTTTCTGAAATGGAACAGTTCCATCATCCACCATTGAAGGAGCTTTCAGGTAAACCTCATTTCCATAGATGCTCCTCAGTCTGCAATGGTATTTTCAGGTGCAAAAGCAGGTCTCTCCTATATGGTGGATGTGGCAGCAGTAAGTGCTGTGCTGTCATCATAGCTGCTAGTGCTGGAACAGTTCTCCCACCAAGGAGATCCAGGGGCTCAAGGAGCTAGAAGGTCCCTAAAATTTCAATTTGCCACAGTTCAGAGATACAACACTTGTACTAAGAAAGTCTTAGGGCAAAAAGACTGTTCAGCTGACTTGGTTGAAGGGCAAAGATAAGAAGAGGGTCAGGAGAAACAGGCTGGGTGCAAATAGCACGTCGATGGAAGGTGAAGAACATGCTTATTGAACCCCCTGAAGTATTAGAGGGACCATCAAGTATCCTCAAGGACTTTGTGAAGAAACAATTCCACACGCTTGAAGCTGCATAAGAGAGAATAGCTTTGCAGATCTTTCTATCCTTCTAGGGCTGATGTCCATTCCCAAGCTGCAGTGTAACAGTGACAGTCTCAGCTGCTCCATAGCCCCTGCCCAGTCCCCTGCATCAAACCTGTTAACCCATCCACAGCGGCAAGTCTTTAGTCATAGTACACCCTGTGCCTACCTCAGAATGCCTCTGAAGCCAAAAAGCCACAGCTGAATATTCACATCCCTTCTGCAAGCAGGTAGGGGCCTAGGAAGGATAAGCCTTCACTTCATTAGACTGGCAGGGGAAGTCACATCTCCCACCCAGTGGTAACAGGACACAGGCAATTGTTTACAGACAGGTACAATACAGTCTCTGAAGGAAAAGATACATTCCTACAGAGCCTTTCCAATACTGTAAAATAGCACCTAACCATGTAGTGAAAGCAATGCCTAGAATGTAAGTACTTTAATACAAAAAGGTTTATGCCAAAAACAGTGCTGTCCGTATTGTGCTTGTTGTACGCTTTAAATATGGTTTCTAGAAGCAAGCAAAAATGGCTTTGGACAGCAGAGGAGCTATCTGGTATTAAAGCTATTTCCAGTGCAAGATGACTTGGAGAAAGTTAAGGATCATACTGTGATCCTTCAAGTAGTCTGCTGGGAATCTGAGCTGAAAGCCTGAGATCCCTAAGGCAAGAGGCATTTTGACTTCAGTGGAGCCACTATCTTTCCTTGGCTTTTAAGCAAAATCACAAATCACATACTAAAAAAAGAAGTTAATAATCAACACATTGTAGACTATTTTGCCTTAAAGTGAAGCAAAGCACTCTGCTAATGAAACATGAAAGTGCAGGTACATGTCTTTTGATTGGCTATTGGGTAAGGTCTTGTGGGGAGAAGAAGAGACTTTTCAGACAACTCCCAAAAGCAAATCTATGATCAGATTAGGAATTTATGTTAAAGGGGCAAAGAAGTTTGGGAAACCAGTGCAGCAAGGTATAAAGATACCCAGGTAGGAGAGAGAAATGAGAAGTCATCCAACAATAAAAAATCACATGCAGAAGATCAGCCACAATATTGGTTGATGTGGACTCATTTTCAGAGATGCTGAGCTGAGTTTGATGGATGCTCAAGACCACTGACTATCAAGGAAACTTACTTCAGTCCTTTGCACTATCCAACACACTGTATAGTATCCCATTCATTTTAGCTGCAGGCAAATTACTGAAAACTTTCACATTTTTTTGGTGGCAAACTGAAATTATTTACCATAGGTGTGGCCTCTGTGAAATCCATCAGGAGGTCACCTGGCTCCAAAGCAAATGTACTTCCAGCGTCTGTGGAACTCTAAAGGCAAAGAAGAAACCCAGCATTGAAAAAGACATTGAATTTCTGTAATTCTGTTGGTTGTTGGGGCTTTTTGTTTCATTTGGGTGTTTTTTTGTTTGTTTGTTTCTTTTATCCCTTAAAGCAGAGATTGCCAAATAAATTAATTATGCACCTTTGAAATTAAGGTAAATATCAATTTAATCCTGATCCAGTGCCCCCCTAATATTGGTGAAAAACTACTTTAGGTTTTAGTTGAGTCTTGGAGCAAGCTTTAAATATTCCCTTATACAACAGGTTAAACATATTACTTACTACAACTCTGCCTTAAAAACTACTCCTAAATGTAGAATTAATCCATCTAAGGAAAATATGTTATCTGCCCCTCCCTCCCACCCTTTCTGAATACTCTCCCAACTGACAAAAGCTCATTGCTTTGTATATTACCTTGCCACCAGGTGAAACCTGTGGTTGTCCTTCTGATGTCTGTGGCGTGCATGTTTTCTGTGACCCCGGAGATGCTGAGGACACAGGTGTGGATGCTGCTGCTGCTGCTGCTGCTAGTGCTGGAGGAAGGTCATCTTCATCACTGCAGTTGATAAAAGCGGACAGATCTTCTCATTAGAAAATGTCACCAGACTTTACCCATACTCCTTCACCAGGAGGAGGCACTGGTGATAACCTGTCTATACGTCAGCTGTAGTTCTTTGGGGTGAGGTTCTGTTTACTCTTCTATCTGTAATGCTCTAATTTACTTTTCAAGTAAATTACATTTCTTAAGCTTTAAAGATTCCTCCAAAGTGGATTGGCTAGGCAATTCCCATCTGCAAGTGGAAATCTTATGTGCAAGTAGAGTCTTTCTACTGAGTATATATATATGACTAAATAAACTTATTTGATGGTAATGTTTATTCTTTTCTATGAAGGCTGGCAGTATTGATAAGAACAGATCTGGTTAGATCCATGCATGGGACCAACTGCTTCATTGGCTTTAGACCAGTGGGAGATTTGATGCAGCTAGTCTGTGCTGTTGCTTTCAAACCGTTTTTAAAGGACTTTGACTCCAAAAAGGAGCTCTTTAAAAACATTCTTGTGAGAGTATCTTTCTCCTGTCCCATTTATTCCTCTTACAGAGAAAACATTTTATTTAAAACCAGGTTGCATGCTTCCCTTGGGCTCTGGGCCGTCAAGCTGAGCTCTTTCCATCTCACCTACTGTCACCACTAAATGAAAGCTAGTAAAGGATATTATCCTTTCATTTACTGTTGTAGAGCTACATTGACTACAAATCATTGGGATCAGTCAACCCTGAGCACAGATTTTTCCAATTGCTAATTGCAATTGCATGGAGGTAAACAAAGTCATAATTTGGCCTGCAGAACCTTTATTACTGGAAATGATGTATGAAGAGGAAAAACTACAGTTTGACAGTTTAAAGCATAGAGAAAAATTATAAGAAAAAATATTACTACTCATAAAATGGCACCTATTTGAACTACCAATTATGTAGGCACAGTGCACAGAAGCCTGCTATGCCTGCTTGACAGACACTTCCAGAACAGAACTGTATTTGGTTCAGTGCTACTTGAGGGCATCATGCCTGGGCAACACAGTACTTCAAAATTATGTGACATACACAGCCTTATGGTGTGTTGTTCGGTGTGACAGCAATGGTTTTCTATTGTGCTATAAAGCTATGGTGATTAATGTTATCTTTCCAATGTTTCACTTCTTATTTCCTTTGGGTAAGGGTACAATTCAGTCTCAAAGCACGTACAATACACTGGTTTTATGCTGGAAAGAAAATGCAAAACCTTTTGGACCTGTTCAATAGATATTTTATTAATGCAACAAGTCAGTGTTGGGCTATTGACCTAGTTAATCTCTCTTTCAGAAACATGTAGCTGGCATTTCCTCAGTCCTTTCTCCCCACTCTCAGCAGGAACGCACTGGCACCCTCCCCATCCTTGCTGGGTAAAGCTGCTCTGTTGCATACAAGAAAGTGGAAAATTGTCAAGAACTTGCCAGTTCAGAAAGGCTTCTTAGCATCTGGGAACCAAAACTAAGGGTAAGAGTCTAGTCTTATCAGTCATCAAGATATTAGCATGCTAGCTATAAGACTGAGAATTGCCCTTCACTGTATTCCTTTCGCAATATTCCTTCACTGTTTTTTTGCATTTCCCTTGTTTGCATCCCAGAAACAAGATAATTTAAATTGAATAGAATTTGGGTCTAGAAAAAATTTAGAAAAAATCACAGGCTGTATTTTTAACTAGGGAGTCTTCAGCCCTATACATGGCCATAGCACAGGTGACATCTGTGGTTAGATGTGTTTACATGCTGTTTCTCATGGTGAACACTGTACAACTGAAAATCTACATGAGGGCAAGACATGCTTAAAAATGGTTCCTCAAAAACTCAACAACCAAAATTGAGAATTCACTCCTGAACACATTATTTTTCTTTCTTTTTTTTTTTTTTTAATATATAAATCCAATGTTTAAATGTCACTTCTCAATGTGTGTATAATAAACACCATTGCCTTTTCTGCATGAAACTGCTTCTAGTCTCCTTTCCCCACCTGCCTCCACCACAGTGATTGTCACTTCAGGTCTTACCTGCCTGGGTTCTGCTTTTCCCAGACACTGCTGAATTCTCCATGGTACTGTTACTCCCAATGGCTCCTGGCATCTTTTCCCTTCTCTTTGGGACAAACTCTCACTCATTTTCATTTACCCTCTCCTTCTTTCCCCAGTACCATTCTGCAGGTGCCCAGCAGCTCTGGGGGACCAGATGACTGATCACATACAGGAAAGGGCTCAGTCTGGTCCAGAGTTTCTCTTTGTCCTTTAAGAACAGATTAGCTAAACACTTTCTCAGACAAGAATGATCTAGTAATAGCTGATTCTGCTATTACTTCAGGGATGACGCCTTGAGGTACTGATTTTCACTATTCTCTCCTATTGCCTGTACCTCTCTTTTGGTTGTTACTTATTGGTAAACATGCCTTCTCCACCCCTAATATACCCTACATACACATGCCTGTCTACATAGAATAACCCTGTTCTCTTTGTTTTCCGTGTAGCAGTATTTGAGGACCAAGTTTAACAACCTGTTTAGGTTAAAACTTAAATCAAAAGCTTCTCCAAGTGTTCTAGAAAACCTGTGACTGTAGCTGCAAAAGGACATGAATTTCCTTACACATCAGTGTGCTCAAAGAATAGGATCAGCCCCTGCATCCTGTTCATTGCCTGCCATATGATGAGCATCAAATAATTGGTTCTCTCAGTGTCACAGCCTTTTCCTTTGCTGACTGCTATCTACCAGTCCCTCCATTATATAAAAATCTGAAAAAGTATCTTGAAATGCATGGGAGATTTCCTTCTCCTGGCTTGTAGAAAATGAGGTAGTAGAAGTGATGCCTCATTCAAGAAAAGCACACTGCTGTCTGGGCTGTGCTGGGCAGAGTGAGTGAGCCGGCTTCATTCAGGCCTTGGGAAACTGCTCCTACCAAATGCTGTCAAGTTCCTGTCACACATTATCTTCAGGATTAGCAAGCAGTGAGGAAGCTGGGTTCTCTTCCCAGCTTGAGTTGTCAACTCCCATCTCATTTTCAAACCACCCTGGCTGATGTGTCATTGTAAGACAGAGCATGCTATGTGGCTGCAGACCAAGCTGTGGCTGTGTGTTCCCATATGTCAGCTTTGGTCTCTCTGACAAATACCAATTTGGCTAATTGATCATTTTCCTCCTAGTTTCAAATTGATTCATTTCTCTGTTTTTTCTCCTAAATAATTTTTTAGTTTTGGTGATGTAGATTGTTTCTTTTTTTTTTTCCATAACAAAAGCCAGTGTTCTTAAGATTGAGACAGAAAATAATTACATATTGATATTTATTAGAATCCATCTGGAGAAAAGGAAGATGTTTGCTAATGTTTCTATATACTTAGGGACACTAGAATTTTAAATTGCTGGAGGGACTAACAGTTGCCATTCTGCATAGAACACACACATTTTTTCTTTGTTATGGCACTTGTATTAATAAATCTGTTCTTGTACTAATAAATTTATGCTGACAATATTCCTTTTTTAAACCCTAGTTTCCGGTGGTGTTGTCTGTCCCTTCATATGAATGACCAAACAACAAACCTATTTCCACATCTCTTCAGTACTTCACACCTTTAGAGACTCAGTTGACTTATGTGCAAATGGGATGCTAAAGCCCTATGGGCACAGATCACTCTTGCCAAGACTAACTGTAGCTCAGCATTTTTGCTTGTGACAAAATCACACAGAAGGGTGCACTTTTCTGGGAGGGAATGCCTGGCAGCACAGCTTGACCATCCAACAAAGGCAGTTTTCCTCATTTTGCAAATGGGGTTGCAGTGAAGCAGACGGAGCAGCTCGCTCTAGCTCACATGAGGTCTTTGACATTTCATGTGGGAAAAGTTTTTCAACTTGTAATCTGTAAACTCAGAGAAAGGCAGAGGGGCTGCAATTCTGAGGGTTAGCAACTTCTTAAGGACAGCAAATGCATTTCATATTAAAAGTCTGCGGATTCTCAGTGTTGAAAGGATTGGTATCAGTATAAGATCATTATCATGTAATTGCACTCATGCCTTTCAGAAGACATAGCTAGAACAGTAATTAACATCCCCCTGCATTTTCAGCTGTAGTAGGCAAAACCACAAAGATAGTGCTATGCGTTACTCACAAACTGTACTGCCTTGTTAACTTCCTCACACGAGAAACTTTAACCTCCTGCTTCTCTGTAGGGGCAGTTGATGGCGTAGTTTCAGGTCGCACTGGAGCTGGACTTCTAAAAATAACAAGAAAAATACATGTGGCACAGTCTTTATTTAAACTACTTCAGGCATATCAACAAAGTTCTAACTCATCAACACATAAAAGTGGCAAGTGCCCAGTGAAGTTCATCCTTTCGTTCCATTTATAGTTCCCAGGCCAGTGTGCATGAACAGAAAAGGATGTGTGAACTCACCCTCCTGTGCATTGCATTCCATTTATAAAAGCAGCAACTGATTACAAATACAGAACCTATGTAAGAGACCATGTGGAAATGTCAATGTTTCCAGAACACAGCATTTTAATGACAGCCCAGCAATTCAGTTATGTCAGAAATGTTTTTGCAAAAAAAAATGCCTTTAACATTTGTATGAACTATTTCATGAATTGTGAAACCTGTTCTGATTAAAACAGTTTTTACGTTAAATTGAACATTATTGTGCTTTTGAAAGAGCAGCTCAATGGAAATAAACTAATCTGTTTGATCCACGAAAAGAATACTTACTAAAAACATAGCAAACACGTGTGTTTCAGACGCTCGTCAATGTGAAATATACTTGCAGAGCTCCAGCAAAGGATAGAAATGGGAATGAGGAGACCCACATAAAAGGATCTTCTCTTTAGCCATTTATCAGTAGAGTTAACTAGGGCTTGAATAAAAATTGCATAAATACAAGACCTTCATGACCATTTCAACTGTAAGCTTGAGTGGCATGAAGACACTTTAAATGTATTAAATACTACTTCTATTTGAAGCAATACATTAGGATTAAATACACTGTATATGTATTACAAATGCTATAAACATAATAAATATTCCAATCATTAAAGGAGTAACTTGAAAGTTTTGATTAATCATTTGTGAAATGGTATTCTGCCATCTAATCTGAAGTCAGACACAAAATTGGTACTTAAGTAGCCATACTGATTGCTGGTGGGACTGCTTGTGCACTGAGGTACATTCCACAGCTGCCAGAAGTGGCACAGCATTGTCTCTAATAGTATAAATTTGGGTTGAGTTTTTTGAGTCTACTTGCATCTTACTGGCCTTCTAAAACCATAACAAGATAAGCATATTTAATCTTCATAGTTGCAGTTCCCTCCAATGCCCATGTGGGTTTTAAGCTTCATTAACTCTCTGATAACTTCTGAACCTGGTGTCCAGCTACAACAGAACCTACTGGGATGGCACAGCCCTCAGGTTATATTTTTTAGTCTTTGGGGAGGTCACAGAACATAAGGTAGAGCAATGGGGAGTATGAGAGTAGAAAGGACATATATAAATCGTATACGTGACCCCACTAGTTCCACTTCTCATGAACAATTTTTGGCTATTTTTTTTCTGCACCTTGACAGCATTAATTTCAAAAAGTCAGCAAGATAGCAGCAAGATTCATATTTTGCCCCTTCCCAAATTCCAGTTCCAAGGTCAGTCATTTATAGTTCAGATTTGCAATAAAATTAATGCAGAACAATCGGGCCAGATTTTGAGACCTTTTGCTGAGTTTGTTAGGCTGGTAAATAAGGGGGGGATAAGAGAAGAAAAAAGACCAAACGATCTTGTTTTAGATTTGAAGCCAGTATGTCCAATCTGGAAATCTGTGAAGCAACATCATGATGGAAGCTCACAATGTAATTTCATGAAGTCAGGCTTCAGAATGGATGATGGCTCTGTCTATTGTTTTCTTAGACAACTTTTGCTCTGCCAAAGGTAGTTTTTGAGTACTGAAAAAAAAATTACTAGTTCAATTTACCCAAAATGACTTTCAATTCACATTCTGACATAAGCAGGATAAATAGATTAAAAGCCATTTAACAATTGGATCTGATGGTCAAATCCTCAAGGGGTGTGAATGTTGTAATGCCATTACTTTCAGCTCAAGTTTTCTGAAATACATTAGCTGAAATCCTTGCTCTGAATGAGGAGTCCTCACAATTCTCCAACACCTTTGTAATAAGGTACTTAAAAATTTTAAACTTTTTCATCACCCCAGTGAAAGCAGGAACAAAGCTAGTGGTATAAACTAAACTAAGTTGAGAAACGTTTCCTCAAAATGGTAGCAAATGATGCTCTATCAATGGGTTAGGAAACAGCAGACTGTGGGACAGCAAAGCTGTGCCTTTCTCCTGGTATTTATCAGGCCTCTGGGAGAGACCCAAGCACCATTTAACTGCACATTTTGAGAAACTGCAGGTTAGCTAGGGTGTAAATTGAAGCTACCTCTGAATGAAAAGGAGTAGTGGTGATGCCTCCATCCAAGGAGGCCATTACCATGAGACAAAAAGCTAGTCTAGTCCCACCAACTGCAGAGCTGGATTTTTGTCCTCATTAAAACCTTGCTAGGTTAGCTCTTTCCACAACAGCCTAAAAATCCTGTGACAGCTCCTGTTTCATCTGTAAACGCTCTTCCTCAGTCTGAACATGTTCCAAACTGTTGCTACTGTCACATCAGCAACCAGATGCAAGCAGTGCCCAGCTTGATCAACTCAGAGCCTGATCTGTGCTTTAAAAATGGCAGACTTTTAATATCACACAAACTTAAAAAAGATGACATTGATATTTTTGAAGAAGCAGCAACTATAAAGCAGAATAACATCCATTGTTATCTTTTGAATTCTACAGCCAGAATGTATTATCATATATGGAAAAACTTCTTTTCTTGAAGAGAAGCCTTGCAATTATTTTGTCTATTTAAATAGAGTCATTACATGCAGATATCACCATTTGTAGTTTACAGTCCCATATAGACTATATAGCTTGAACAAAACCTGAAGTGTTGAAAGATCAGTGGGACCCAGACTTAAAAAGAAAATGAAATGTGCAGTATATTACATTTCCTTTATAAGGTTCTGTTTCATTAATTCATAACAAGTTTTTTTCCCCATAATGGTATCCAACCACTACAGTGTAAAAATGAAGGTACCAAACCAAGACAGTTACTTCATGATCTGGCACCTTACATAACAATCTGTCCCTTCCTGGTGAGAATGACAATAACAACCACAAATGTCAGCATACAGTGCCAGGTCATCAAAAACTGCCTGGGCATTGAGAGCCTCAGCATAGTCCTGAGCAGCAGCCAGCACACCTTACTTCACACCTACTTCAGCCAGTTTCACAAGCCTGCACAGAAACATAAACAAGTCCTAGAGAGAGATCCCCTCCAAACCCAAGGAATTTGGGTCTTTTTCTCAGAGTAGCAGCCAACAGGGCTACTGAAACCAAAACTGCTCACAAAAACCATACACTGTGGGACATTTCAAGTGACCACAGATGTCCACTGACTTAGCTTGAATCTTCCTTGGGGACATGATGTACATGCTTGTGCCGAGGGGCTCCTGGTGATGCACCCCACCCTCAACTCAGCTGTAATGGGGAGACTGGGTGCTATGCATCTGCCTGCACCACCTCTTTGTGTACCGTGGCTTCTGTAGGCTGACATGCCTCTTTGTCCCCTGCTAAGCTGGCTCTGGGCAGACCTCTGTACTTGTTTGAAATGTGGCAAGTGAACCATCTGGGAGCAAACAACTGTACACCTAATAAGCTGAAAGGGATAAAAGGACTTCTCTTTCCCTGGAGAATCCAGTTCAGAATTTTAAAACCACTAACATTTGCTGGGTGAACCCATTTTCTGCATTTGTCTTTAACAGGTTTTATCCTCTTTGCTTCTGTTTGTGCCTATTTTGCCACCTGGAACAATCTCTCTCCCTCCACCCTCCCAGACTAAGGTAAAGGGGTAGAGACTAAAAGCCCCATGATTTATAAGGACACAGCCATCTGCATGAAGACTGACCTTTAGGTGCTGATTCATGGGGGAACAAAAACAAACAAAAATGCCCACAAAAAAATACTGGCTTATTTTTTGCTTCAGAACTTCCTTTGAGTGGGAATATGGTAGTGAAATCTTGGGAAGAAGGAAGACTATCTGATAGATTCATTGTCTTGTGCATCAAAGACATAGCCTAACGTGCTAAGGAAACACACACAAGCATGCACAGCTTTTCTGTGTTCTAAGGATTTCACACTTCCTTCTTTTCCAAAGTTATGGCCATCTGAAGTTAAGACACAATAACTTGTGCTTTTTCACTTTGATAAAGTAGCTTTTCTCAGAAGACAGGTTAGCTCTCCAAAATGTTATTTGACCATTTGAAAGCTATTGTCATCATCAAACTTTCTGAAGAAAGGTTTTTTTTTCTTTTTACCTTTTTTTTTTATATAGATTGCAGCTGTACATCAAAGCTCCTTGCTACAGAGCAGCAGCCTAATCCAAAATCAGCTTGTGCGCTTTCCTTACCCTCCTCGCTTGAGCTCTGTTTCTTTCAAAGCAAAAAATTCCCTCTTCTGCCTTGCCCTTACAATGAAAATGTATCTGCAGTCTAGATGAAAATGTGATGTTCCTGTGGTCCAACAGACAGATAATGATAATACAGAAAATGTTCTTCTCCCCCAGCTCAGAATAATGTTGCAGGTCAACACCAGGTACCTAAGGTCAAACTGCGCTACAAATCCTACCTCTTCATACAGCAATCAGGGCAGCCACTGTAAATGCTGTGGCTTCCATAGAACCTAGGTGCAGTTTACAGGACACAAAGAAATGCACCTCAAGTGGGGTATTTCATCAGTTTAACCTCATCTGAAAGGTCTGAATATTGCTCCTTGTTCTGTAGTTCAGAGATTAATAGTACAATTACAAATAATTCAGCAGCATCTGACTTCAGGCAACAGGTCAAAGAGGTCTTCAATACTTGGAATGAAGTCAAAGAACATAACTACGTGTCCTATCTGCAATCTTTAATGCAAGCTGGCATGCAAAGGGTATGCAAGAGTTCAGCTTAAAGTTATGACTCTGATGCAGAAATTACTGGATGAAGGTCCTGTAAAAAGCCAGAGTAGCAGATCCATTAGCCTTTCCACTGGATTGAGGCCAGGCTGATGTATATTTAGCTATTCACTTTGGTTTTGGAAATGCTGGTTGAAATTTTTCAGTTGGAGAATTAATGGTTTGTATTTTTTAG